ATAAACATTGAAAATGTAAATAAACATTCCAAAGTTTGTAAACAAACCGAAATTTCAACTCCTGGGCCCAGAATTCTTTAAATTTTCGAAAAATTTTGTAAATAAACATTGGAAAATGTAAATAAACAAACCGAGAATGTAAATAAACATTGAAAATGTAAATAAACATTCCAAAGTTTGTAAACAAACCGAAACTTTTATTCTATTTTGATATTCGATTGAATTTTAATAATTCCATGAATTTGATGATTTTTTTGACTTTTTAACAAAATTATACTTACCTTATACTTACCTTATACTTACCTAATACTTACTTTTTACATACTTCTTTTATGAAGCTTTAATGTTTCCAAAAATCATTTTTTAATAATTTACTTAAATCTAAGGACTAGAAGGAATATAGGAATAAAGGACTAGAAGGAATATAGGAATAAAAGACTAAAAGGAATATAAAAATAAAGGTTTTTTAAATAAGGAACTCATTCATTTATTGAAAAATGATGTTTATTGAATATAATTTACAATTAAAATTACATATTTTCTAATTATTAATTAATTTAGCTACATTTTGACTTATGTATTTATAAAAATGTATTTAATTTCTCCAAGTAAAATTCTTGAAAAAAACTTCTTGAGCTATCTCTTGACAACTTATATTCTCTTGATACAAATCGTATTTGAGGCTAAAATCTGTAATTTTAATCAAAACTGAATTAAACAATTTTTTACAAATTTCATGTGCCATCTCTTGTTGAAATATATTTGCTTCTGATTGAAATTAAAATTTGGACAATAGAAGGAGTTTTGTCCATATTTTGAGTTTTGTAACAGAAGAATATAAATCTAGAAGAGATGGCACTAAGGGAAATCCGATTGCATAAGTTTTGCAATCAGACTTCTAATATATTGAGAATATTTTTATCAAAAATACATAATTTGAAGGAAAGTGCAATTTTAAAAACAAAAATTATCTATGATATATTTACCTGTTACTTACCTTTTTAAGCTGCTAAATTGTTCATGATCAATTATAAAAATTGTTATTCTTGTAATTATAATTTTGCTTTATTATACATATATAAATATTGATGCAGCAATCAAAATATTATATAATATAATAAATATAATAATATGATAGTACTATATCGCAATCTATTTTTTATTCTTTTCGTTCATTGTTCATTATTCAATATCCATTTAAATAACGTAATCTGTAAAAGAAACAAAAATATTTTATTATTTATCAAACACAATTACAATTACAATTAAAATCTAAGTTTTTTTGTAATTACAGATCTTTAAGATGCTTAGTTTTACTTGGGAATAGAATATGTGATGAAGGAGCATCATTAATACTACAGGAACTTAAAATGTATTATAATTTATTCTGATATTCATACCATATTGATTAAAATCTAATATTAAATAATATATTTAATCGATTAAGTTAGAATTACTTTAAAACATGAAGAAATTGTAGAGCTGCGTCGTAGAAAATTCGCTGAACTGGCATTGTTGGATGAATGGGTAATCAAATATTTATTGAACTTCTTCCATAGTTTTAAAAAAAATGTATAAATTTTTTTCATATAATTATTAAATATTTAATAGATGGAAAAGAAAAAAATGGAAGAAATTGATAAAAGCATAAATGGAGAATCAATAAAAAAAAATATTAATAATAAGTTTAAAACACGGCAAAATCGACGATCTAAAAAATGTATATATCGTAAAAATGATATATTTTTCTATCAATTCCTTTTTATATATAAAAGAATAAATTATTTTTTTAGCTCTTCAAGATTCTTCAATGATAATAAAAGAAGAAGGAAATTTAATTGAAGATTCAGATTTTATGCATGTAATAAGTGAAATCTATAGGAATTATTTAACAACGCATGATCTAGATTAATTATTTTTTAAATATTTAATTCACAGAAATTTAAAACAATAATGGAAGATGAAATACCATACCATCCTTTTAGGAAAGAAAGTTATCCAATGCATGGAGAAATAATGGCAATTGGAAACTTGGAATTACAATACTTAGATTTAAGCTGTAAATATTTATAATTTATTTTGAATAATGAGAAATCTGAAATAAGATCTTTTTCATTTAGACAATCATTTAACGAAAAATATTTTAGAAGAATTGATAAACTGTCTCTATTATCAGAATTATATGTTACGTGGCAATACAAGTAAAGGTCTTTTATATGTTCTCATCGAGGTAATTAAAATTCTATCTAAAATTAATTTCTTATATTGTATCTTATAAATCTAAATTTCAAGGGAAACAATATTAAAAAGGAAGAAGAAAAAGAATGGTATATATTCGAAAAAATTTTACAACAAAGACAAAGTGGAGAATCTTTGAAAAATAATGCTTTTCGAGAATTCGTATCAAAAGATTGCGAAATCTTACGGCAAAATGTTTGTTTTTCATAAAATTAAATTTTCTAAAAATTCGCATAAATTTCTACAAATAAAATTACTATTAAAGTATTATTTGTATTTTTCGATTCATGAAATTAATTTAATGAGATAACCAAGTAATATATACAATATTTTTTCAAGTAATAATTAAAATAACAAGGAAGATATATGATATTCTTTTAAGTTTATTGGAAAAAAATAGAAAGTTGGAAAAAATCGGCAAAATTAATCGAAAGGAAAAATGAAATGGCGTGATTTTGTCATGCGAAAGCTCTTATCGTTTAACCTTTGGACTTTCATGCGACAGCGAGGCCAGAGTTATACATACTGTATGCCTGATCATTAGTTTTGCCGCGTTGCAATTTACGACAATGTTGTTTCACATTGCAGCCGCGGCAGTGCTAACGAATATCGCGTTTTTAGAAATCTACACGTTATATGATCTACCGAAAATCGAAGATATTTCGTTTCTATCGGACAAGGTAAACCTTACAATCAACTTTTTTTAATTTTCTTTACTATTATTGATTTTAATAATTTGATTATATTAATCTTTAAATTGATAGTCAAAAAATATCATAAATATAGTATTGTCCAAAATTTATTGCATTATAAGATAAATTAATAAAATTATTTATATATTTCAAAGAAAAACCATAGACAAATTGAGATAGCTTTAAGTCCAAAATAACTGTATTTAAAAATATCATACGCAATGTTCTAGATATACTGTTTTATTTTTTCACGCAAATGAATGCCGGAAATGGGGTACAGTCGATGACGAAACCGGTATCCGGCAAATAAGTGAACACATACGACCTCTAGTGTGTCGAAACATGTGCAAAAGATAGTTGGGTGTGTCGTCGTCATTTGCTTTTTTTAAGTAATTTATTACTAATTTTCGAATCATTAGTAATAATTGTAATTTAAAAATACGAAACTATTTCGAGAATTTTAATATTCAATGGTGAACTATTGATTATTGCAAACGATTCGTTCTTTTCAAAAATACAAATAAAACGGTTTGCCATAACCAAAGTGTTATCTTTTTTTTAGCATTTAACCAGTAGTGCCATCTTTAAAAATATTCAAACTTGGCGTACATTGTTACCGACAACAAGGTGAACTTGTTAATAGTTTTTGACTAATATCACCATCTCTTCGAGAAAACTTGAAACTTCTCATACAGTTGCAGATAATAAAGTGAATTGTTTAGATAAAATCAAAAAATTTTATCACTAAAACAATAGTTTGATGATGAGACAAATAATTATCTTCTAAACAATCCAAAGATTTAATTGAAGTTCAAAATGTACGAAAATTTGTTCAAGAATCCTCTACAGCGAGTGTTCGTGTATGGAACACTAAAACGAGGAGAACCCAATCACTGTTTGATTCAAGACACTGAAAATGGTTATGCAAAATTCTTGGGACTTGGAAGGACTACTATTCCATATCCGTTAATAATTGCAACTGATTATAATATACCATTTTTGTTGAAGAAACCTGGTTTTGGTCACGTGAGTATTGCATGGATTTGATAGTATTAATATAGATAATGTTACTGTACAACTAATTTTGTCGAATTGTTAATACAGTAACAGCATTCATTGTATGTTGTATGTTTAATTTTTTTTAAGAAAATTATTATTTTTAATTTATATTAAATTAAATATCTTTTATTTATAAGTTACTAAACTTTTATAGAATTATATTTTTTATATATTTTTTTTTTTAATTTTGTATTTTATAATTCTAATATTAATATTATTATAAGATAAATTAAACATTTTAAATTTTTGTTTACAATTGCATTTGCATTGAAACTTTGTTATTATTTGAATTAAATTTTTGAATTATTCTATATAATTAATATATAGAATTATTTTATTTTTTTTTATATTTTTTTGAGCAGCATGTTTTCGGTGAAGTATATGATGTCGATTCAAAAATGTTAAAAAAATTAGACGAACTAGAAGAACATCCAGCTTTTTATAAACGATCCGAAGAAAATATATTGTTTGCTCTAGAATCTAAAGTCAAATCGATGGATAAGTTTGAAGAGGTATATTATTTTTAAAAATATTTAATACATCTAGAATTATATTTTTCTTTAAATTAATTACTATTTTATCATTGTTTTTTTAAGAATAACAATGTCTTAAAAAAAAATTAAAATATTCTTCCCTAATTTAAAAATATAAAATAGCAAAATATCAAGTAGATATACTATTCCAATTAATACACGCAATTGTTATTAAATTAATCTGCTCCATTTATTATCAAACTTATTTTCAGGTCAGTACCTTGATAAAGGTATGGATATATTTTCTACCAAAGTTCAAGACATCCTTATTAGAAAAACCCATGTACAGTTCGTACAGTAACGAAGGAAGCCATGGACTCAAGTATTGCGAAAAGTATGTTCGCGATGCCTCGTACAATCATAGAAGTGAAGTTCAGTGATATTTTATCCTCTGAAATATATTTGTTTCCAGCGAGGAGAGTACAATAAGGCCGGAAGACCTGTTCTAATCAAGTTTTGCATATGTTGTTGCTACTTCGTTATAAAAATTCAACATTATGCTGTTAATTCTGATAGTTAATAAAAGATTTTTCGTTAAATGAAAATACTAGAACTTAATCCTCTGCAATTTAAAATGTTTTTTTATGATCAACAATGAACTTTCCTATCGAATTTATTCTTTTCTTAAAGACATTTCAAAATTGCATAGGATTAAATCATATCTTATGTTAATTTCCATCACAATAAATTAACAAACGAAGCGATTGTGCTTTTTATAAAGCGAATTAATTGTTAAAAGAATATTTTGAAACTTTATGTAACAATCAAAAATGTATCTAATATCGTAACACTTATATATGTACATTCTCGAAAATATATCTTGTACAGCATAATGCATCGTTATTTGCAAAAAACAGTTTTTCTTTCCTTTTCTCTTTTTTTATTATTCATTTCACAGAAATTGGGCACGAGTATTGCGAGTTGTATTTAGTTGAGATGTGTATAATGAAATGAAATAAAAACAAATGTTATTAGAAATAAATTTCATATGTTCACTCTATGTTTTTCTTATTATTTAATATTAAGTTCATTTTTCGTCACGTTGCACCCCATTCTTTCTTTCGCGCATTCTTTCGCTTCCTCTGTCATTCTATTTTCTCTTCTAACAATCGCGATAAAATTATTTCAACTTCTGTAACAAAAGGCAGGCGAAGTTCAGTATTCTGACGACAACAATATTATTTTCTCATGACTTCATCTTTTTCTTTTTCAATATTCGATCTTATTATTTACTGAATATAGAGACACTAATCCCCATTTTATTCCTTAGAATTAGATAAGATTGTTATTTCCAGTCATTTGACTGAAATTGATTGACAAATTACAGGATTGGTGACTCTTAAATACAGTATGAGATCAGTCGATCAGTTTGTTAAAAAAAAATGACAAATGATAGAAAAATTTTTATAATTATTTAATTATTATCTAATACTTATTTCAATTCGCGATTATAAATGTATTATTGTAAGAATTTAAATGAATATATATATATATATATATATATGATTCAATCTGAGAAATGAACAAACTGATCGGCCCAACCAGATAAGCAACTTTAGATTCTCGCACATGGAATTTGCATATTTCTATGTGGAAATGCCCGTAAAAAGTGCTTTCGATTCTCGAGATAAAACTGTGACGGTCAATCGCGCGAACAGAAAATTATCAATCGCAACCATACTCATTTTTGAGTGGTTTCTCTCGCACTTTCAAAAAAAATTTCGCCAATCGCGAGATTATCGACATATCATTGATGGTTCACGAAATTAAAATATTTAAGGCAGTACTTATAAGTTTGTCCTAGGAAATTTATTATAAATAATCACATCCTTTTTTCTTCTTTTTATAGTTCACTATACAAGGCTCCGTTTTTTTTTTCTTTCCCTCGCTTGTGTATGTATGGCTCACGTTTTTCGTTTTTCATTTTTTACCTATTTCTCCAAGTTATATTTTTTCTTCTCTTTTTTTGTTCACATTCAAAAAATAACAGCGTTAGCACCCCAAACTCCTCGCAGGAGAGGAGTCCCACGGAAGAACAATTTCATAATTCTTGCTCTTCCTCTATCCCTTTATTCAATCCAACCTCTCCCCAGTTTTCATTTCTTTTTTGCGAAAGAAATCCCTAAATCAACAAAACTAATTAAACAAGCGTTAACAAAAGCGTACATACGTCTTCTGTTCTTTTTTTTATATTTACGCATATATGTCTCTTCTTTTTGTATTTTTTGTTGGTTATACCATTTTGTTGGTAAGTTTTCTTGATTTCATTTATCTGATCTATTATACTTTGCGTATACGTTCTTTGTTTCCTTTCTTTCACGCAATTCTGTTGTGTTGATATTTATAGCAATATTTTCGCACCGTTCCAAAGCCCAGCCCCGGAATTCAATTATTTCGAAATAATTATTACATATATATATATATATTTATACATATATCTTAATTCATCTAGATTTTTGTGTTCGTTGACGTACGTTGCCGTTGAGCGAAACGATATATTCGAAAAGCCACGGCCCAACCAGGATCGATCTTACTTCGAAAAGTCTCTTAAATATAATCGACTTCCTTTTTCTTCATATAATGAACACATAATTACATAATAATCCTTCTTGCATTGAAAGGATGTCATATTTGAGTATTTTAATGTTTCAATCTATATTCCCGTGACGTTTCGAAGGCGATCGATCACCTGACGCGAAAGCAAACACGCTAAACGAAAACAGCAGCACCGTGTAAAAATACAGCTGTCGCGTAAATACTTCACGCGATTAATCGCAAAGTTTAACATCTTTTGCGCGAAGAAACGAAAGGTCTATCTCAACTTCCGGTCTATCACGCAAACTTATAGTTTTCCCCTTACTTTTCCCTTCATCAATAAAGATCTCTCATCTTTTTTACTATATAGATTAAAAAATTAAATATAAAACTGGTGCTAAAAATGTATGTTTTGAGCATGTTTTTCTTATATGAAAAAATAAATGTTCACGTTCATTTGCGAAATTCATCGCAAGCACGAATCGCGTCTTTACGAAAGAAATCGTGCATCCAGTTTCACGATAGTAAATGAGATCTCCTATCGAACGAAACAGGATTTCTTTTCTTTTTTCTTTTAACTATCATCGGACCTGTCAAAAGCTAGAGCACGGTACATGAATCGATGGTGGATTCTATCCGTACACGCTTCATCATGTTCTATATCCTAGAAAACATATTTAATAGCGCAACTGGGCCACGAAACGGAGAGAGGCGATGATTTAATGATGATGATTGTGTTTGTCATTTGATCGAGTGATCAAAGATGATTTCAGCTTTGATCTTGCGATAGGGCACCATATTTGTTGCCCAAAGAGAGCTTCGGTGCTTGAGCTTGCGCATCCTGCACACTGTATGACCTACTGCCTCCCCGATTACGAACTTCTTCAAATGTACCTTCATCTCGTTTCCTAAAATAAAATTTTAATTAGTTTTTTAAATAGATACAATTTTTTTCCAATATTTTATAATGCTTATAATGCTGAAAATATCAGTTAATCCATACCGCCTGCCCCATGGTCCACTGGGTTCATTGCTCTGTTGTTGTTTGGAATTTAAAGTTGGGAAATATTCTTCACTATGTATATCCGGTGCAACATTTTTCGCTCGTTGTCTAGGACTAGCAGCTACTGTCTGAATATTTCTTAAGTGTGGTGGTTTATAACTACTTCCTGAAGTAACAGGTGGTGGTGGTGGTGGAGCTATTTCTGTTACTTCTGGTTGTGGAGGAAGTTCAGGCTTCTTCCAAGGACCTGAATGTTTTAGGCCACCCTCTCCTGATTCTCCATCCGAGCTATTGTCTCCTGTACCTTTTTCATCATCGGATTCTGCATCTATAGATTCGTTAAGTGTTAGGTTTCCAATTTTCAAGCCAGTATAATCTTTCTTTTCTTCTTCAAAGTCTCTCCATTCATCTTCATCCTAAGAAAATATATTTGTTAAACATGTAAAACAATGCAAGAATTTTTACGTAATTTATAAAGAATGCATATTGTAAAAATAAAAAAAAAGTAATCAAATGAATTTTTTCGTTCAAAGAAATAGATTCTCGATCCTAACATAGAAAAGATCATTTGCGATGATAATCTTAGAACAGCTGCTTTGTTTTGATAAGTTTACAGCGAAAAATATTCGTGTTTGTATAACAATTCAATTATATAACAAACGATTTGACTATTAGACAACAAGAGAACATGAATCATATTAGATCTAGAAAGAATTCAAGAAAGCAGATTAATTTCAGTAATGGTACGAATGACGTTTACACGAACAAATATGGCAGCGACCTATAGCGCACGGTAATCGACAGTTTCGCGTGAACAATTTCTGATTTAAAAGTCAGAAGTTTAAAGAAAAACGAAGAAGAAGGAACACGCACGAAACGAATGTATCACCTCGGTTTGTTGAGTTTCCTCGCCTTCCGGATTCACTGGTTTGTCTTTTGATTTCTTTCCCAAACGTTTACCCGTTTCTTCCAATTTCTTCGCTATTTCCTCTGTGGTTGTAAATTTTTTTCCTTTTGCTTTTTTACGATCTTTTTTTGCGAAGAAATCATCTAAATCAGCCATATTGTTATGACTTTCGCGATATACGCGGCGTGATTATTCGAAGAACAAGTTTTTTTCACAAGAGCACGAGGAACAGCCTTAGTACAGAGTGATCTGAGGCACCGCTGCTGCTGTCCACATGGGCTTGTCTTGGCCGGAAGTCAGTCAAACACTTCGAAGTCAATGGAACTTCCAAATGCAGAGCCAATTTTCACAAGAACTGATTTACACCATAGAAAATACGTTGATAAATCGTAATAAAGGACAACACAATCCTTTTATCACTGAATATTATTTTAATTTTATAAAACACAGAAAAATTCTATTCTTAACTTAGAATATGTGGCGCTGATTGTCTAGCAGAAGACCAACACAAAAAAATTCACGGGCTACCTAACCTAGAAATGCAGTCGCGTGTTTCAAAAATATCAAATCATTCGAATTGTTTCACAAAAGTTTAAAAAAAAATCGATGAACTAGATTACTTACAAATCAAAACTGTGACTCAAGAAACAGTAAAAAGAGTTAATATGTATTATAAACGTAACTTATGCAGAGGTTAATTGATCCACAGTTACCGTATGTGGCATGTACCATTGATGGCGCCACTTTTTCCTTTGCTACTTCCGGAATATGAAATGACGCTCAAACTAGTATTGAATAAAATAAAAAAATATGTTAATCTTATATTTAAATAAAAATAAATAAATTAATTGATTCTATTTAACCATTGTAGATCATAACTTGTGCACATGTATATTTAAACAAGAAATATTTCTACAAATATACTATTGTTTTTTTTTTTTTTGCGTATCCATTTTCAATTATATAATTAGATTGAATACAAATTGAATCATTTTTTGTTCTAAAAAATATACAAATTATTTATCTATTATTATCTATATATTATTACATGATTCTTTTCAATTAATTCGTATTTGTTTTTCTAAAAATTTTTATGAAAATAATTTCTTATATTTAATCCTATTAAAAGTTTTATCATTATGAATTTCATAAATAAAATTCAAAGTTTTCATAATTTTTTCACAAAATAAAAAATTAATTGCAATTAAAATGCTTTTTAACAATCACAAATAATAAAAACACGATAAGATAGCATAATATTTTAAATGTGGCGCCTCAGGCAACCCCACTTTTATTCATTTGATAGAAGTTACGCAGCCGCGAATATCAGAGAGAACATATAGAGAACCCCTTTCTTGAAACACCAGTAATCATCTCTAGCCTTGCCACGAACCATTGCGATCGGAGGTGTCTCCTATCCTCGAGCCGGCGTACTACACGAAGAAGCCTCGCTAATTCAACCTGCCTGCAGTAGATTCTCAGTTCGGCGAAGGTCTGACAGTATTTTTTTAAGCGTCAAATTTAAGCTTTCATCTGAGAGAAGAAAATCGAAGGGAAACCAAGTTCAAAAGTTTCATGTGTTACGACGTACAACGAGATGAAGCTCACGCAAAAGTGTCTTGGGAATATCAGCAAGATGTTGGACTTTTATTCGCAATTCAATCCTTCGCCGCTTTCGATAAAACAGTTCATCGATTTCGGTGAGTGTGGAAAGGTTGCTTTATTGGTAAACGTTACATAGCTTGTATAACTTCAAACCTCGAGTGTCAGGTATCGACAAATCCAAACCATTTCTTTTTTACTTGTTCCTTCCTTTTTACTTTCATTCCCTCATACCTACCATTGTTTTGGCAAGTGGAGAGAGAGAGAGAGAGAGAAAAAGAGAGAACGGCAGCAATCGAACAACGACCCTACAAGAACATAAGACATTATTTTCAGGGTCGTTTCGATAGAATCCCTTAATGATTCCGGGGCATCGTCCCTGATTAATTTACGTTTTTTGTATTATTTGCGTCGAGAAATGAATGTCAATGATGGCGTTGTATTTCGATTATTCTATCAAAAATGGAGTTTTATATATATATAAAATTCGCAATAATTAGAAAATTTGAAATAATTGAATTATATCATTCAAATTATTAGAATTCTATTTGTCGTATCAAAATATATAATTAATTGAGTATTGAAAAATTTTTACGATTATATATATGCAAAAAATTAATCAAATTATTAATTACACGAAAATAATAAATCAAATGATTAATTATACGAAAAAAATATAAACTTAAATTCGTATAATTTTTTATAAACTTATGTATATAATCTTTTTTTGTTTTTTTCTTCTTATAAAATTAAATGAAAAATTTATGATTCTAAGCAAATATCGATTGAAATTATATCAATGGCAAAAAAAAATTTTTCTTCTGATTGAGGAGAAAAAAGAGTCACATTTACACATAAATTATGGCGGGAAATTTAGCAAGATAATTCTTTAGAAGAATGATTTTAAAATTTTTCAATATTTATAAATATTTTCTTACATTTTTCTTTTATTTTATTCTTTAAAAATTTATTTTTCTTTTTAAAAATTTTCAAGAAAACTAAACATTTAAATTTTCAAATTTTCGCAATGAGAAAATGCAAGGTTGCTGCTCTTGTATCGATCTTTAAATGTCACTGCACTCGTGAAAATGTTAGATTCATAACAGTTTTATTAATCTGAATATATTAGTGTATTTTTGTTTTTTAATTTATTCGATATATTTATAATTTTAGTACAGTGATCTAATTATCCGATTACAAAGGTCATATTAAACTGAAATTAATCGATAAATTTTTACAAATTAGACTTGTTTCAAACATTCTCCGCCAACACTTCTATAAAATTATATATTCATTCTTTTCTCTTAATCCTCGATATAAAATTATTTGTTTTATATTATAATTCTTTTTCATAATTTTATTTAACAAAAAAATGACAAAATTTTTGAAAAAAATTGCATATAAATTTCATTCGATGATTTGTTATTAAAAAAAAAATACTTAGAAATTTAAAAAATGTATTTTTACATTTTTTTCATATGTAAAAATCTTTTTGGACTATTTCCTAATAATATTAAAATAGAGAAAGACATAACTCTTATCAAATGACATGTCTTATTCTCGTTCACCGAAGTTGTGTGTATTTCGTCTGTCGGTCCTTTGTTTTCGAACTGTCAGACGTCATAGACGTCACAGAGTCCAACACGCCTCGTATTTCATCATCGCACTATTCCGTTAATGAATCGACTACTTGATATACAAGATACGTATATCTATTCATTCGTATATAAACCATATATGAAAGAAACCATCTACGACTTTACTACACAGATATTTTAAGAATTCATTGAATTCGTAAATAGAATTTTTATTTCTGATGTCGATTTCTTTCATTATAATATTTTCTCATATCTTGTTGATTTAAAATTAATGTCGATATTGTTATATATAATTTTCATAGTGATGTCAGAATTTAAACGATTCCGCGGAAAAAGCATTTTGCGTTGTTATCATACTATGCAACGTTTGTTTGTTAACTTCGCGACTGACAAATATGCTAATGGCGCGTATCACGAGTTTTAATAACATCCTGTTTCCTCTTTGATCCAAACTACTACTGTAGTACTTGGAATTAATCGCGTGTATTTTCGCACATAAATACCAAGTCACGAGTTTACCTGTGTATTCTATTGCTTTTTAAAGAAAATATATACAAACAAGCAAATATCGAAATAAAAATCAAACGAAGTCGAGCTGATAAGAGAAAATTTATTCGAAAATAAATATCATCTCGCGATTTGCCTTTCAAAGTAGACCTTGCGAATCTGGTTCATGTAGATCACTTTAACTCTTTTATATAGCGAACTACTGTTCTAAACAGAGATATTCCCCGTCAGATTGGCCTCTTTTGTGTCGGTGTCGCTTTCAGAACGTATCAAACAATCTATAGATCTTTAGATGCACGAATATAACACGAATATTCAATTTCTTGAATTATCAATGTTCAAACTGATATACCGATGTAAACTTATATAAATTAAAGAAGAAACAATCTACGTAGTGTAGATTGAAAATCAAGAAAATCAAGGTCGGCCAATCTTTCCTCGAGTTGGCCACTGTCATTGGTGGCAATTTCCACGAAGGTAAATAGGAATACACTTATTGCGAATGGTATGCTGGAACATTGCCATTTTTCCGCGTCAGTCGATAAGTGTGGGTGTACAAATTCTTAGAGTTTGAACTCTCGATAAATTCTTTTTTGAATTCTTGCCCGTTCTTCTTCCTGACGTAAACCATCATTTCTTATTTCAAAATAATTAATGATTTTTTTACGTATGTTTTTTGCATGTATATTTATTCTTGATGCGTAAAAGGACAAACTTTGTACCGATTAAGAAAAACGAATTGATAACGAAACCGAGACATTTCAACATTTAATCTCTTTTTTAATGAACTTTTCGAGCTTAATTTCAGAGATTCTTCAATTTATGAATGTATGAGAAAGATAGTTTGTAAGATCTTGACTTTTTGAAAGTTGTGATCAAGTAACATTGGCCACATCTGTGTTACATGTCCATCACCCGCTTCTGCCATTTATATTTTTGATTAAACAACGATTGCACAAACGAGATAAAGTCTTTAAATGTATATAATTGTTATATTTATTGATCCGATGGTTATTTCATTAGCCTCTTCTTTTATTTTAGAATAGCAATTTCGAGCTACACGAAAGAAATTTCTACTACTTTCTTTTTATTAATGACTTCCGAATCAATATGAATTTGTTTCAATTTTGTAATAATTATCCATTTATCGTATATTTTTCGAACAATCTCGATTCCTTTCACTTGAATGAAAGTTGATTGCTCCGTATATCTTATCATTAATTGATTTCAAAGTAAATCTACACTAATACGATGTTCATCGTTGTATTATCTAACGACCACGGTTGAGCGTGTGCAGTGATGAGAAGTGCATTGCGGCGCGTGTGTTTGGCTTTGAACATTGGGATTAAGGCTTTAAAACTAAACAGCTGCTTCCTCTGACCGGTTATATTTCCCGTCGAAGGATTCCAGAACTGGTTATGGAACAGTACATGACTCGTATCACGCGGGTTATAGCGAAGAAGATTCGATGACTAATCGTTATTTTTCTACCTGTAATAATATTTTTATCATAACTTCCCTTAATATTTTATTTTATTTTATTGACTAGTTGTTTTAAGTGATTTATGACGCTATTAAATTTAAATTGGAAAATCTTGTTGATCATCAATGAGAAGAATTTTTTAAAACAAATATACAGAGATAGAAAAGATTACTATTCATTTATATGCAAAGTTGCATATCTGCGTATATGAAGAGAATAACTCATATGGAGAAGCACTGTTCGGAAACATGATTAGGATGCTTCCAGCAAGTTCCATCGGCGGTGGGTATATAACTGAGACTGCATTCTGGCCGAGTTTTTACTTTGTCAACGAGTTTGGCGCGATGCAAACAAAAAAAGAAAAAAAAAAAAATATTCGTTCGTTTATTTTATTAAAATTTAACGATTAAACGATCTCGAACTGATAACGAATGGATGTTTTTTCAGTTACTTGCAAAATATTTACCAATTTCAATTTGTTAATAAAGAATAAAAAACGAAAAGAAAGAGAAGGGAAAAAAAAATAAATTTACGTAACCTTTTTCCTCTGAAAAATTAATTTTCATTTAATATAATTAATTTTTCAACAAATATTGTTATGAAACAATGACTCATATATGATTCATTCTATGTCATTAGTATTTATTACACTGCATTTGATATCAACATATATTGAATAAAACATTTTAGTTAAAATTTATTTGATGACAATATATTTCATAATATTAAACGAGCATAACAATATTACGGTATTTGCAGTGTTTACAAAGTTCCTTTTAATTTGTCTATTCAAATTATCAACCTTGAATTCAATGATTAAACTCAGTATCGTTAATGGTTTTTAGAAAATTATTTCGTAACACGTGATACGATATTTAAATCAAAAAATAAAAACTTTTATATAAAAATTTATATATGCCTTTTCCAATATAACGAATTATCTAATCTTATATTATATTATCGATAATTTTTGTAATAAAATCTCAATGTTTATTAATCCTTAAATTTATCGGGAATTTAACGTGCGTTAAAACGAATAAGATCATTGTTCACGGTTTTTTTTACCATACAATTTCAACCGAAAGTGTCTTTTACGACGTCGTAACTAAGCAAACCTTTACGCTGTTTCACGTCCTTTAATTTTATTAATGCGTCACTGCCAATATATAACGTTCAACGAAATAAAGTTATTTTTACGAAAAATATCCTACCATTCGATCGTAAAGCAGAGTGAGCCTAGATAAAGTTTTTTCTGTCATGAAATTAAAAATAAAATTAGATTTTATTTATTAGGCGCGTAAAATTAGATTTTAGGTTATAGAAGATAAAAAAATACCTTCGATTTCGTGCCACGTCGTATTCGTCAATTATCCTAAAATCGTTCTTTCGAAATTTCTCGAAACTCATCAGAATCGAGGTAATTAGTGGATGAAAATGGAAGCCTCTAGCCTCGTGCCGTCGAAGAAAATTGTTTTGTTGAAATAGGTAAGGTCGAGCTATAACGAGACTATATTGTTTCGAAGCTAATTAACGAATTTATAATCCCTGTCGTTTGCCTCGTGTCTTCCTCCATTTAAATTCCTCATGGGATTGATCAATTGCCGTGTTCCACGTTTTCCAATCTCTGAAATTGGAAAACCATTTTCCATCCCGTCGCCTTTGTTCCTCCAGGAAAATTTACGAGACGTTTAAATCTCGACTTCCTCGCATTGTACTCGCGCGTGATACATCAATGTTAACATTGTTAACCGATGATAATTACATTTTCATTACGTATGGAATAGTACCTTACAAATTAATATTCCTCGACTTACGTAACGCTCGTATATTTTTATCGCTTGAAGCTTAAACAAATGATTATCTTAGATGAGATGAATTTTCTGAACGAACAATTTATTTACGTAAATTAACTTTTTGCGGAAATAGACATATCATTATGCGGATAGGCATTGTTAAAGAAACAACAGTTGTCGAAGAAAATTGATTTTATCTTTTGCTTGCTTTTGATTTACAGTGTTTTCAATTTATTATTTCTCTTTTTTATTAAAAAAAAAAAATTGAGATTGAACCAATGGCTACCTCGTATCCAAGAAAATTCTCCATTTTCCCTGATCCCTTGAAAAGTAAGGAATGAATGTGAATAAAATTAGAATAGCGGATCGATTTGCGCGAGTCGGTAAATGAAACGATAGACAATTTGTGACGTGTTGTATTGAAATACGGTCACCGATGCTTTATCGCCGTATCGTCGTGATAAGTTGTTTTCTATATCGACGATTGATACTTTTTTTTTTTCGTATTGATATTATTACTTATTTTAAAGAAATTCTTCTTTGCAATTACCTTTTCATTTAATAAAAAAGAAAAAACAATTTCAATTAATTTGATCTTTTCGAGAATCCTTTAAATTAAAAATTTCTTTCTTTGCAATATTGAAACCTGGTCTGATTCTTAATCAGACTAATATAAATCAACAGCTGTTATTTATCAGAACAGAAATAAATTCATGAAAAAAAAAAAACATATCACATTGCATTCTATTACGACAAATTGTTCGAGTTAAAAACTCGAACAATGGTCGTATTTCCTTTATTTCGCGCATTAAAATTTATTAAGTTTTTATATAGAGTTAATTAAAACTAATGAAAACTAATGAAAACAAGCTGTTTTGTGTATCTCCATGCAAAAAATTCACATCGCGATTCAATAAACTTTTATTCACAAAGAAAATCAGCAAATTAAGATTTCGAATAAATGATTCTATCAATCATGGAATCGTAAATTGCCAATTTTATGAATTGAATGTAATTACACATTATAATTTCGCCATTTCGAAACATAGCATACAGATTCTCTACAATCGATTGAATTTATAGCGAGTTGTGTTCCCAAGGAAAAAAAAACGGTTCATTGAGCGACATTGCACGTTTCATCGCAATTCAATGCATTCTTTAACCTTACCAGTCATCATAATGAATTTCTTGGCATATTAAACAAACGGACTGTGCACCTTGAATAAAAAATTATTCAATTAAAATTTCGTTCTATTAATTGTGTCACATTGAATATGCAATATATGCAAACATATGTTTTATTAATATCCTAAAGTCAAGAAAATCGTCTGCATTCGATCACATGAAATTAAAATTAAGCAAATATTGATTGTCGTGCTTTTATCGCGAAAATTCTTCTCTTCATCGTTTTGTCAACTTTCAAAACATTATTAATCGAATTTCACAATATGTTGTGTCAATTAAGCGTGTTTTCTTTTTTCGTCTGTGTCGTAATAGGATAAGGATATTCAGGAGGATTATTCGTTAGGATAAGGAAAATTTGTCGAAAAAAAAAAAACGATAAATTTCGCTAAAATATCCGTCTATGTTTGCGTCAATCACACGTGACGACAAATCTTTTTTTACCCGTTTGGTTTTCCTTATTAATTAATACAATTTCATACGATATTATGAGAAAAAAAAGTGATAATTGTAAAACCTTTTTTAACATTCGATAAAAATAAATCGGAGAAAAATGCAACGATTAACACGTTCGATGAATTATTAGAATCCAATTATTATTGCTATTCAACTTGTTCGAAATTCCATGATTTTAGAAACGTAGATATGAAAATTAACGAATTATCTCGTTATTCATATAAAATACTGACCGATTTAAGTGTTATCGAATAATAAAAAAAAAAGAAAAAAAAAAAAAGAAGGCAAAAAGATTAAACGATATTGATATCGAATATTGAAGGGTATCAGTTTTATGGTTCATCAATAACTTAGGATTTATTTGCGATTCAATAATTTCGCAAAAAGAAATTGAACAGTTGTGGAAAGAACTAAATTTTCTAAATCGAATTTGATCGTAGAAAATCGTTTTCACACAAGAGGTCTTTTTATTCGGTCTGCTTGATGCAGATAAAGTCAATAGGTAATTTCACGGCAATTTATTATGTTGGCAGTAAATCATTTGCTATCTATCTCGTTAAAAAGAAGAAAATGAAATTTGCTCTAATGGAAAACGTGGCGTTTGAACAAATTTGATATTTTCGATTACCAATCTTTTTGGTAATATATATATATATATATATATATATATACATATATGGTAATATATATATTACTGATTTTTTTTCACAATTTTGCGTCAAAATAGAAGATTAGATTTTAAAATCTTTGGTAAAAAAATTTACCAAATCCGTTCTTCTTTTCCATTTCATCTCAAAAGATAATTAAACGTAGGTAACACGATTTCAATAGTCCATGTTTTATCCTGAACTTTCATTCTTGATGAAAGTATTAAATAATTCATCCTATATATCCTTATATGCGATCATGCAAAATTATTCGATTAAATTAACATCGGTAATTTAATCCAATCGAGCAATGGGATCAAGCTGTTATTCGATGGAATACAATATCGATAATGATGGTCAAGTTTTATCATGTTTTCCTTTCATATCGATCATTTCAATTTTTTTTTTTTCTTTTTCTACAACCGTTTATATCTTTCTGATGAAATTGAAAATTAAAATAGTGAATATTATGAATATATTTTGTTCAAATATCAAGCGAATGAATGATATAAATAAGATAAAATTATCACAACTATCAACTAATGTTGTGTACGATTATCTTATAAGTTTAATCAAACATATTTTTAACGGGACTCAATCTCTACCTTATCTTATATACCTGAATCACTCTTCATCAATTTTTCAACAACAATGCATAAATTAAACAGCCTCGATTAGAAACGAAGTATAATTAATCGATCGCGATTGATTCTTACTTTATTAT